GATAATTATACATAATTATGTTGTTATAGCGATGTTCATTTATTAGCAAGTCCATTTTAAATTGAATACAGTCCTTATCAGTTTGTAATTTCTCTACTTGTTGTTTTAAGCTATTGATTTGCTCCTCCATTTTTTTCTGATGTTCCTTCGTTTCATGAATATTTTCATGAATAATATCAAGTTCTTGTTTTATAATAACCATTTGACTAAAGAGTTAGTCATTAGCGGTGTTAATCAAATCCAATATTTTATTCCATAACACTGAAGTATAAGTGTCTGAAAGGTTATTCGGTTTATTAGTCAGAGTTTGGTCAGAAATGGTTGACTCACCTGGGATGTCACTTGCACTTATTTGCGATGAATTTAGGTTGGAATTCATTTCATTAATAGATTCTTCATGAAGATATTTTTCAGAACTGAAGTTAAAGTCCATTATCATCCTAGAATTTGACGAAGAAGGTTGATTCTTCTTAATTAATTTCCAGTTTGGCACGATTTATTGGAGGTCTTCCCCGCTTTGGTGGAGAACGTTGCATAATTGTTAATATTGTTATTGTCGATATAAGTTATATTAGTTAATAGCAAAATCAGGCTTTTAGTGAAAGTAGGTAATCAAAAATGATTAGTTCTTATTCTTAATATGGATGATCAGGTGCACAAGAAGACACCAGCAGCCTCAACGGATGAATACGCCCCCTCCATTAAGCAATATGAAAAAATATTTAAAAATGATTATATATATTAAATATACTATTAAATATTAAAACAGCATACTTGATGTTATTTTTAAAAAAACTCATACATCTGAATTTAATCACATTTCAATACCTTTCACTAGTAAATTCTAATCTTGATGATTTACACTTTCACATTTTTTAATCCATGCTTTAATTCTCAGATGATTTCAATTTTTTCATGAATTGAGAGGCACTTTCATTAGACAGCATATTTATTGTGAAAGAAGACAGAAAATGAAAGGATAAATGTAAAAATGAGTTATAGAAGGGATTATAAAAGAGTTTTGGCAACTTGACAGTATGCTTGGGCAATAATGATTTTTTTACTCACATGACAAAAATACTATACAGTCGACCCCCCTATAAGATCATAGATATGTTCCATTCTTTAGGAATCCGATTTCTTACGAGTCCTTCCAATCACAGCTCGACACGTGAGAAGTTTACGGATTATGACTGATTGAAAGGTTTTCTTCCATAAAATTAATCGATTCTAGACTAATCCGACTCAACATTTCCAAAATATGTATATTTTTTTGGGGAATAATCCGTATAAACTACACTATAAACAAAAAATTGTAGGATTACTTACTGAGTGTGCACCATTTGACATCGCCATTGCTCAAACTTGTTTTCGTCGCGGAACAGCTCAGCAAACCGCGGCCGATTTCTAATAACTTATTTTTCTGCGAAAAATCAGCTGAACTTTGGAGACATCATTAATATAAATAATTTTAATCGTCGTTGAATAAGAAATGTTCTTTCACAAGAAATGTATAAAATTACAGTACTGTATTAGACTTACGGTACCTAATTTACATACTGTACAGACGATAGTTAGCCTAAACTCTTTGTAGCGTGGCGCTACGCGGAGGAAAATATATATATAATTATAATAAAGTTACAATAAATTAAGTTAATATATAATTATATATACAGTACCTAATTTATATGTAATTAATATATAATTATATGTACAGTACCTAATTTATATATAATACTGTACAGACAATAGTAATCTCTTCGTAGTGTGGCACTTGATGACGAAAAATAGTTCGGCTGCCCGATGACATTTTACGTAATTATAGGAGTTTTTTTTACCGTTTTTTACGGATACCGTTGCAATTTTTTCTCAGTTTTATAGGAATCGTAATTATAGGAACCCGTTTTATAGGGGGGTTTACTGTACAGGACAAATAGTTGTTCTTTATAGCTTTGAAATAAAGTTGTTGTAACAATGAAGATTTACTCTCAATAACCATGAAGTCATAACTGTGCTCATTACAATCAAGTCCATTTTTATTTTAACTTTATTTTTGTAGTATTTTAATTAGTGATGGGATTATATCAAAATTTCTCCTGATTTTGATTCTTTTGAATACTTTCTGAAGTTTATTTTAGTTTAAAAAAATTAATAATTTGGATTATGAGCACAGTACATTCATTAATTAATAAACATCAAGCTTAAGAATGGAAAATGATTAGGAAATGCGGAATCAGTCTTTTGAAAGAAGCATGAAAAATCTCCATTTATATGTGGGTACACATGCTTTTATTGTGTACTATAAAATAAAATTGTAATCTTATTTTAGATAAAGTTAATATTGCAACGCTACCTCAAAGAAATTACAACTAATTCCATTTTATTCAACAAACTATCCCATCTTATCTATCATGTAGGATTGCTATCTTTGGAAACTGTTTCGTTGGCTGATGCAATGACCAGGGGGGAAAGTAAATTGAGAATATGCACTTTTTTATGCTTCTTGCCATGGGCATGTTTTGTAAATGATTTAACTCCATTATATTTAGTTCTAAATGAGGTTTGGCAAATGATGCAAAGAGCCAAACAAATATCATCATCACAAGTTAATCAATTTTTGAATTCATTCATTTGAACCATAAATATCTAGACAGACTCATATTAAAAAATTAATATTTAAAACTCAAAACAGCATTAAACTTATCAATTATTTATACCCAGAATCACATGAATTACACTTACAAATTTAATGTATTAAAGCATCATCTGTGAATCATAATAAAAACTTTCATAATTATAATGAGAAATTTGTTTTATCATTATAAGTAAATATACTAAATATTTAAAATAATTTTATATTTTTCAATTAAAACATAATTTTGCTTACATTTTAAACTATTTTGCCATCCACCAGCTTTGATTTGAAAGTAGATAGCCCAATAGTTCAATCAATGTTAACTCAATTATAATTAAAATTTTTAAAAAACCAGCAAATTTATGAAATGAAATAATCAAAATAGTAATAAAAATTAAAGAAATAATCAAATTTAAATTTATTTTAATTTTTTAGTAATCTTTTGTGCAAAACAAATTCTATACTTATGAAAGAAAAAAGAGTTGCAATTAATTAAAAAAATTGTAATTAAGGATTCAAAATGCAGGCAAAATTAAATAAATGAAAATTATTAAAGATGATAATTAAATTAAAAAATAATAAAATAATAATTAAAACTCTGGCCTTTACTCCAAAAATAAAAATCAAATCAATTGAAAATTAAAACAATGTTTCTAAAAACTGTTTAAAAGTTTTGAAATTTTCAAATTTTAAATTAAATAGAAACCCTAAGGTCACCCTATCTCTCCTAAATGGGATAGTTAATACTGACCAGGTGCAATCTCATCACTCTGACTACACAAAAGAAAAGTTTGCCATGACAAATGTCACCTCATGTATGAGGCGTTATACACACACTGCTTGTCAACATGAAAGTTTCCAATAAACTAATATTTAATTGTTACTATCTTAAATTTAAAAAATGTTTGATTTTTGACTGAAACAAATAATTAATATTCTTATAAAATGTGGAAGGATCGGTTTTAAGAATTGGAGATCATGACAAGATTTTCTCTATTCCAATTCTGATACCTGGAAAATCCAATTTCTGATTCTGCTTCCAGTTAATTGTTTCATCATTAATTTTAATATTGCTTATAGTTCAAATGAATTTCTATATTATTCTTGAATAAAGCACAAAATTTGATTCTGAATAGTTAGACTGAGTTTTTTCCAGTATAGTAATTAATTTTATTTAGAAGTATTTATTTTTATTATTTTTATTTTTTAGATTTTATTTCATAATTTTGTTGTAAATAAATATATTATTTAATACAAAGATAAAATATTAGTTGAAATGTTGATGGAATTAATCATTTATCTCACATTTTTTATAAGTAATTTGAATTGATATTTTTAAATAAACAGTTGTCATGTTCTTTAAATTTGTTAATAAATGTTAATGTTTTTATTTACTATAGTAAAGTACATTTTAACAACATAAATTATTTTTTTTAGGTATAATAATTATAAAAAGCTTCTAAATTTAAAAAATTAATTGCTGTCACAACAAACTACATTGATGATAAATCATTTAGTTGTTACAATTTATCACTAATGTTAAATGAAAATTTTAATCAAATGTGTCTTGTAACTGATAAATTGATGGAATATTGTAAGAATGGAAATCATAAAAGTAGAAATTTTAAGGCAATTATTTCTGTTTAAATAATTTTGATCTTATATAATATTGTAAGACCTTCTGATAAAACTATTTTGTATGTATAGTTTGTATTTTTTTATAGAGAATTATAGTAAGTGATAAAAAATGCCTTAGAATTTGTATTTTGTGATTTTGTTCTGTATCATATATACAGAATATGTATAGTTAATTTGGTTGATTAAAATTGTAACTTTTTTGTTTATAAATAGGGCTAAATAAATCCTGAACATAAAATATAACTTGTTGAAACTAATTCTTAAATTGTGGAAAAAAATTGTTTGGCTATATTTATATATGTATATACATTTATTTTAATTATAATAATTTTATATGTTTTATCTATTAAATATATATATTAAATAGATAAAATATATAATAATGGTGTATTAAAGTATAATTTTATGTAAAACATATGACAAGTTAATGTATGTTAGATAAAAGTGATTTATGCTGTATTCTTCAATATCATTAGAAATTAGTTGGCATGTATTAAATGAAACAGAAGATTTTACATGTTCAAACTAAGACTGTTGTTTGTACAGTATCTGTTATATAATAACTGTTAATAAAAACTTACTATATTTTAACTGAAAATATTCATTTGTTTATGATTATTATTAATTAAATAAGTAAAATTTGTCATACAAAAGTAGCATAGTTTTTATATTGCATAAATTCTAAATACTGTATTATAATTATTTTTTCTTTTCTTTTTTTTGATAGGTCATGAAATGAAAGAGTGTATTGGATTACCTAAAGAAAAAACTGGAGAGGTAAATGAAGTATTAATAATACGCATTTTTTCCTCTCTCCTTTTTAAAATTACATTCTACTTTTTAGTAATAATTCAGTTTGAAATAATAAATTAATGCATCATTTGAAATTTTTCAAAATTTCAAATGATTTTTGGAATTTAGGATATTTTACATTAGTTTAATGTATATGTTACTGTAAAAGACCGAAATTAGAGAATGTCGATATTCTCCGGTGAATATCGACACATACAAAATACGTCGGTGACAGACCGAATATTTGGTTATACAGTAGACCCCCCTATAACGCTTAGATACGTTCCACGCTAATCAAATTTTACGTTGTAGGAATGATTAAATACATGAGCCAATCGCAGCCCAATAGGTGGGAACTTTACAGACTAAGGCTGTTTGAAAGGTTTTCTTCTATAAAATTAACCGATTCTAGACTAATTTGACTCAACATTTCCAAAACATGTATAATTTTTTGGGAATAATCTGTATAAACTATGCTATAGACAAAAAATTATAGGATTACTTACCGAGTGTGTACCGTTCGACTACGCCGTTGCTCAAAGCTTGTTTTCGTCGCGGAACAGCACACGAAATGGCGGCCGCGATTTCTGATAAATAATTTTTCGCAGAAAAACAACTTGACCTTTGGAGACATCATTAATATAAATAATTTTTATGGCCGTTGAATAAGAAGTGTTTCTTTCACAAGAAATGTATAAAATTAGTGCTGTATTAGACTTACGGTAC